AAACTTTCTAATTACCTGAGAAAAAATCTCAGGTTTCCTTTGTTTGTCTACGAATTCGAGCCATAAAGATCCAACCTTTTTGGATCTACAAGCCAAGATGGGTGCTTCAGGGAAGTGGGTGAAGTCAATTATCGGTCTCAAGAAGGCAGAGAAGGATGAAACTGTAAGAGCTTTACCCAATTTCTTCACTTTTCACAAGTACCCATATTTCGATTTTTTTTTCTTTTACTTAAAGCTCGAGAGATTGTTTGATTCAGGAAAAGGGTAGTAGTGGGAAGAACAAGAAATGGAGGCTATGGAGGAGTTCCTCAGGGGATTTAAGCTTGTCGGGCTCTACGTGGAAGGGTTTTAAGGGAAGACATCGGTCTGAATCAGAGGTTTCGGATTCCTCCAATGCTTACTCCGCGGCTGTTGCAACTGTTGTCAGAGCTCATCCTAAGGATTTCAAAGCTGTTAGAGAAGAATGGGCTTCTATCAGAATCCAGACTGCTTTTCGTGGATTCTTGGTGAGTAACCTCTCTGTTCTCTCTTCATATTTGGTGGTTAGAGAATTATAGAAAACAAATCTGAGAACTTTAGTATTCGATTTGATGTGATTAGGCGAGAAGAGCATTGAGGGCTTTGAAAGGGATTGTAAGGCTGCAAGCTCTAGTGAGAGGTAGGCAAGTGAGGAAACAGGCAGCTGTAACACTAAGGTGCATGCAAGCTCTGGTGAGAGTGCAGGCTCGTGTTAGAGCTCGTCGTGTGAGGATGACTGTAGAAGGACAAGCTGTGCAAAAGCTTTTAGATGAACACCGGACCAAATCTGATCTCTTGAAACAAGTCGAGGTTTATTGTCCTTTTTGGTTTTGTTTTGTGCACATTGGTTTGATTCATATTCAAAATGTTGAAACTTGTTTGCAATTTGTATTCTTCAGGAAGGATGGTGCGATAGGAAAGGCACGGTAGATGATATCAAGACAAAGTTGCAGCAGAGACAAGATGGCGCATTCAGGAGAGAGCGCGCAATGGCTTATGCTCTAGCTCAAAAGGTGACTGTGCAACTCACTCTTCTCCTTTTTAAGTTCCATTTCTGAATCCAAATACGGTTTTCTGCAGCAATGGAGGTCAATACCTAGATCAAACCTTAAGACAAACAGTTCAATCTCATATCTCAAAAGCCAAGAGTTTGATAAGAATAGCTGGGGATGGAGTTGGTTGGAGCGTTGGATGGCTGCTCGGCCATGGGAGACCAGACTTATGGACGCTGCAGATACCGCCACGCCTCCTCCTAAGCATTTGAAATCACCTGAAACCGCGGATGTTGTCAAAATCAGAAGAAACAATGTGACAACTCGAGTATCTGCAAAACCTCCTCCTCATATGTCATCTTCAAGTCCTGGTTATGAACTGAATGAGAGCCCGGGTTCATCGTCTATCTGCACTTCAACCACACCTGCTTCCGGAACCACTGGTCTTGTTTCAGACAACTCTAGCAGTCAAAATAACAAGAACAAGCCAAGTTACATGAGCATGACTGAATCAACAAAGGCTAAGCGAAGAACTAACCGCGTTCTCAGGCAATCCATGGATGAGTTTCAATTTATGAAGAACTCCGGATTGTTTACCGGGGACTTGAAGAGCAGTCTTGCCTCAGATCCTTCCTACGTTAGTGTTAGTTTCTCCAAACCACTTGGTGGTCCTACTCGATTCGAGAAACAGAGAGGGTGAAATGGCTTTGTGAAATTCATGTTAAGAAAAAGTTTCAACAGC